AATTAGAAGCAAGCCTTCTTGATTTTTGCTGTTCAAATTTTTCTCCAGCGTATCCACTGTATTTATAGATGGTTTATTTTAATAAATGTTCTCTGATTCACTTTAACAAAGTTTCACTGACATTTTTGGGACTCGGCTGAACCAGATACCTTGTGGACTTAAAAGGTGTCATTGGGATTTAAGTCCTTGGGGAAGTAGAAAGATTGATTTCTTATCTCTTTCTGTCCTTGCCAGGGAAAGCTGCTTGCTACCATCTGGCTTTTTTGGGGGGGCGGGGAGGGGGGTTGGTCTTCTCTTCACCTTTGTTTACAGTCTTCACTGACTTTTAAAGCTGCTTTTTTAACAACATATCTAAGAAACTTCAACAAAACCAGCATCTAATAATTTGGTTAAATCAATTGCTGCTGCTACTACTAACATTTTAAGATAAGGCTATGATATACTATATTTGGATTATTTAATGATGTCTCAATATTTTGTTTCAAGCCTTGTGCTCTGCTCAATTGGAGCTCATGACTGGTTTAGTTGGACATGCTGATTGCTGCTTTTTTGCTTTCTGCTTTAGCCATACTTCTGCAGCTTGGCTTAAGCCCTTTGGAAACGGCTAAGGTTGGTGCACACGCACACACCTGCCTCTGCTCAATTGTCAGTTTTGTCAAATAGTCTATGGTTCTCCAAAATGGGAACATGGCTTCTAAGCCCTCTCCTGATCTCATTCAGTATGGCCTTTTACTTGTTTAGACTGAAGCCATACTTCATTTTGTGCACAAGGAAGCAGTTCATACTAGAGGTTACTCTTGCATCCCCTAGCTGTAGTAAACGTGGGCTTCAGCAGCTCAGACTTGAGTGATGGCCAAGTTATGCTTATTGGAAAAAGAATAGCACTGTAGAACTATAAGGTGGGAAACCTAGTGTTGAGACTATTAAATACAAACACTTGAATCTCTTGCAGGTTGCAGAGTTACTGATGAAATTCTCCACTTGGTGCCAAACAAGGAGAACTTTCGGCTAACACTTAGAGCAATCAAACTGTGGGCAAAACGTAAGTAGACTACTGAGTCAGTCTATCTTGCCCTGTTGGGACGGGAAGTTGTAGGGCCCTGCTCTGAGGGCAGATAGAACAGTCTGGATAAACACAGCTTTGAAAACGGGAACCAAAATTCCCTCCCTCAACTGAGTTCCATAAAGATTAGCATATAGTTAAGGCTCTCAACTGCTTTCCTTTTAACCTCATGAATCTTGTATTCATTTCTGCACAGTAGTCCTGCATTTAAAGGAGTGGAACAAGCTCCCAGCCTAGCGCATAACCTGGTAGTGTTGGGGCATTCTCCTGGGAGATGTGGATTTTGAATTCTCAGGCTGAGAGGGGAATTAAATCAAAATCACGCCCTTCTTGGGGGAGTGTTCCAACACAGCAGCAGCAGCAGTGCTGCCATTTCTCCCAGTTGCATCTTAACAAGAAAACCATAATATTTGCATTTTGTGAGAACCTGGGCCTCTTAGATGTATTCTGAACATGCCTGATGCAAGCTATCTCATCAGATTTTTGAGATCTTATGTGCAGCTCTTCCTAGTCTCTGGGGCCTTTAGGAGCCAGGTGCCTAGCTCCTTATGCCTGATGAGGTGCAGGAACAGATGCATAGGAACCTTTAGACTGAAAAGGCTGGGTACCTACAAAACTTAGGGATGTTCAGGATTAGGTGCCCATGCAGTGGAAGTTTTTAGATTATGGTTTTGCACTTGGAAGTCCAAAGTTTTTTATGTTTTTTGTTTTGGGTTTTGTTTTGTTTGGGGGGGGGGGGGGGTGGGGGGGGGCGGTCAATTGAAGGGGAAAAATTGATT